CAGAGAAAGAAGAACTGGCGCAAAAAATTAGAAGTGCTAAACAGAACTATTTTGAGGATGCAAACAGGCCAGGTAGATGGTTAGCATACAAACTGAGAAAAGAGAAAGAATCAAGGAGAATACCACAGTTAATGGATGAACAGGGTCTAGTCTGTCATGGTAATAAGGAGAAAAAGAGAATTATTCGAGATTTTTATGCGCAATTATATAAGCAGGAGGATTTTGATGAGGGGAAAATTAAACAGTATTTACAAAATGCCAACCTACCCAAGATATCTGATGAAACTGGGAAAATGTTGGAAAATCCTATAACAATGATGGAATTAACTGAAGCACTTAATAGACAGAATAACGGGAAAGCACCAGGACCAGATGGTTTCCCGGCAGAATTTTATAAAACATTACAAGAATCACTGAGCATCCCAATGTTAGAAATTATGAATGAAGTTATGATAAATAAGAAAATACCTAAAACATGGTCAGAAGCTTATATTACGCTTATTCCAAAAGAAGGGACTGACCCATCACAAATTAAGAATTATAGACCTATTTCTTTATTGAATGCAGATTATAAAATCTTTGCTTCAATTTTGGCAGAAAGGCTTAAAAAATACTTAAATAATTTTATTCATTCTGATCAGAATGGATTTCTACCAAAGAGACAAATTAAAGACAACATGAGAGTAATTTTGGACACTTTGGAATATTATGAGGCACACCCTGAAAAGCAAATGGCTTTGATATTTTTAGATGCTCAAAAGGCATTTGATAACGTGAATTGGAGATTTATGTTATTATTATTGGAACAGATGGGTTTTGCTAGAAAATTTATTCAAGCAATAGAAGCTATATATTATAAGCAAACAGCAAAAGTGATGATAGATGGAGAATTTACAGACTCTATCAATATTAAAAAAGGCACAAGACAAGGATGTCCACTGTCCCCTTTGTTATTTGTATTGACTTTGGAAGTATTAAATAGAAATATTAGAGAGGATACAAATATAAAAGGAATGAAAGTTAAAAAGGAGGAATTTAAATTGCAAGCCTTTGCGGACGATTTGGTCTTTATTCTGGAAGATCCTCTAGAGACAGCTTTAAAACTACTGGAAAAGATAGAGACGTATGGTGAGATGGCTGGCTTGAAAATAAATAAAGACAAAACAAAGATTCTGACAAAAAATATGTTATTAAGGCAAAGAGAAGAGTTGGCAGACTTATTGAAAATTCAAGTTACGAATAAAGTTAAATACTTGGGGATAATTTTGACGTCAAGATGTACTACACTGAAAGAGAATAATTATATTAAACTTAAACAGCAGATAGCATCTGACTTGAAAAAATGGGAAAATCTACAATTATCTTTGATAGGTAGAATCTCAACAATTAAAATGAATATTTTACCCAGAATTTTATATTTGTTTCAAACAATACCAATTAGGCTTGGTAAAGACTATTTTGATGAAATAAATAAAATGGTGTTGAAGTATATATGGCACGGTAAGAAAGCGAGAATAAAACTAAAACTTTTACAGGATGCTAGAATTAGAGGAGGATTTGGCCTTCCTAATTGGGAGTTGTATTATCAAGCTGCAAATTTAATGTGGGTTAAAGAATGGATAACGTTAAGAAAGTCTAGATTACTGGCATTGGAAGGACATGATTTATTATTGGGTTGGCATGCTTTTTTATGGTATAAGGGAACTAAATCGCAGGGTTATTTTAGAAGGCACTATATACGGGAATCGTTATGGTTGAATTGGGAGAAAATTAAGAAACAATGTTATTTGAAAATTCCAGTTTGGTTATCAACTATTGAAGCTTTTTCCTATCCCATAATTTATAAGAAGGAACAAACAGTTAGATATGGGGAAATACTGGATGAAAAGGGTGAACTTAAAACGATGCAAAAGCTAGAAGAACAAGATATAAAGATGAATTGGTTTTCATATGCGCAAATACACTCAAGGTATCTTAAAGATTCTAAAACAGAAGGATTTTATGATAAATTGACTGATTTAGATGGGATTTTGACAGGTGCTGATGAAAAAGTGATTAAAAAACTATATAGTTATTTGTTGGAAATTAAATTAGAGGAAGAACAAGTCAAAGAAACAATGATTGTTTGGGGGAAGAACTTTGGATATGGGATTGATTTAGAAAAATGGCAAAAATTGTGGTCTCAAAATTATAAAATGACAATGTCAGTAGCATATAAAGAAAATTTGTATAAGATGTTTTACAGGTGGCATTTTCCCCCGACAAGAATAGCAAGAATGTTCAAGAATAAATCCGAAAAGTGTTGGAAATGTCATCAGATCCCTGGCTCATATTACCATATGTGGTGGACTTGTGAGGAGGCCAGGAAATACTGGACTAGAATTCGCATATGGTTGGAAGAAATGACAAAAAAACATATAGATTTGAAACCAGAGATTTTTCTATTGGGAATCTTACCTGATACATTTAATAAAAACTTAAAGTATTTGATTGTAAATGTGTTAACAGCGGCTAGGATTGTATTTGCTAGAAATTGGAAGAATGAGAAAATACCATTAGAGGAAGAAATTATTAAGAAAATATTGGAATGTGCTGAAATGAGTAGATTGACATTTGAAATTAGAGAACAAGAAGATAAACAATTCTATGAAGTTTGGGATCTTTTTTATCAATGGTTAGATAAAACAATATAATAATAGAATATATATATATTTTGGTTTTGATAATATTTTTAGAATATTATATTAAGATAGATTTGGTATGATTTTACGATTTGTTATAAATTAATTAAATTATAGTTATCTCGCTTAAGCATGAATTAGTTAAATTATAGTCAAATGATTGTTTAATAAGGATATTAGGATATATAATTGTTGATTGATAATATGAGTTATTATGTAACATAATTATTATGATGACTATGAAATAGATGCACAAAAAGGAGTGATAAACCAACCGATACACTGTCTGTAAATTTATGAAGAATGATGATGTTTTTATGTTATGTTTTATGTTTTATGTGTTTTTATTTGTTGTTAAAATCAATAAAACTTTTATTAAAAAAAAAAAAAAAGAATTAATGGAGAGGCAGTTTCTGTAAGCAACACCAGAATGTTTCCTTCCTGCCTTCCTTACAGGATTAGGCCAGTAATTTCTTCTAACAACCGGTTCTCCGAACTGCTTAGAATGTTAACAACCGGTTCTAGTGAATAGGTGCGAACCTGTAGAATCCCACCCCTGCCTGACACCATAAAATTGGACCTAATGTTATAATAGTTTAATGAACAATAGAAATAAAAAAAACACCACATCTTAAAAATGGAAAGGGGATAGATCAGGGGTGTCAAACTCAAGGCCCATGGGCCAGATCTGGCCTGTGAGAAGGTTAGATCTGGCCTGTGAGGTCGGCCTGGAAAACCCTAGCCCTGCCCCGGCTGGACGCTCCCTTTGGGCATGCGCAGCTCATTTGCCTCGTCATGCCTCACCCTGCCACTCATCTCTGTTGTCATCTTTGCTTCCTTCAACCTACATATGAACAGTAGTTTCCTTGCTAAAACAGAAAATGGTGGCATCACAGATTATCTATAGGTGTTTATCAGTGGTGGGATTCAAATTTTTTTTATTACCGATTCTGTGGGCATGGTTTGGTGGACATGGCAGGGGAAGGATATTGTAAAATTCCCTTTCTCTCCCCACTCCTGGGGGAAGGTTGCTGCAAATCTCATTCCCTCCCCACCCCACTAACCTGCTTTCCAGCTCTGTTCTCCTGTGCAGGGCAACAAAAGAAGACCCAGTCAATCAGCTGGGACTCAGGAGGCAGAGAATAGATGGGGTGGAGCCAGTCAGAGGTGGTATTTGCTGGTTCTCTGAAGTACTCAAAATTTCTGCTACCGGTTCTCCAGAACTGGTCAGAACCTGCTGAACCTCTGGTGTTTATGCTCCAAGCAAACTTTTTTCTTTTTCTCCAAAGAATTTTAGATTTTTAAGTAAGTTGGGAATCCTCAACATTTTATTCTCACAAGCTCATATTAGACCTCTGGGAAATCATGATAGATAAATGGACATAATTATCCTCAAAATAAAGCTACATATAAATAAAGCTAACAGTAAATAAAAGCCTAATCGAGGAATTATCAAAACCCATTCCCACCAACACTGACAGGGCAACCACTAGTATATAAAATGAGAGCAAACCCCAATCCTTACTTGTATTGATGATGTTATCTAATTTGGTAATGAAACATCTGCAAGAAAATAACCAAGCTCAGAAAGCACTAAGTAATCCACTTACTGTATAAATGAGCATAATTCAATTTGCTTGTTTGCTCGCTGTGTTAATGGTTTTTCCATTCTAACTGGTTCATGGGTTGGGTTGCCAGTAAAGTCTATGTACTTTGCATTTGTTCTAATATGTGTGATTCTCACTGTTGGCAAATTTCTTTAGCCCAGAATTTAGAAAAACCTCACTTGACTTAGTGACCCAAAGTTTGTTTCTACTATTTCTTACTATAAGCTTCACAATGTAGAGAACTGTGATTCCCCTCTTCCAGGTAAAGTATGGAGAGGGAAGGTGATACTATCCAGATGTTTTGAATTGCAATTCCCATTTTTCATTGCCATTGGTTACTTCAGCACGAATTACTAAGAGACGAAGTTCAAATATCTGGAGAGCACCAATTTGCCTACATGTAAATTTTGCTAGATGTGTGACCTTCTTTATATCTCTGGAACTGGACTTGATTTCTGTGCTCGGTAATAGGCAGGTTTTCTGCATAACCCATATGACTTCCATTTTGTCTGCAAGAACATCTGGCTGTCTTTTGCATCTGTGAGGTGCTTCTATAAGCAAGTTGCTGAATGTGGTGTTGCTGAGGTGTTTGGAAAGTCAAGATTTATTACTGTGCTGAAGTCTGACAGATGGTCAGAAATAAATAAGTGGAAGTTTATTTCCAGCAAAAGTTCATCAAAGCATTTGAACACTGAATGACAATGAATGTTACCTTGAGCTATGTAAGAAGTGCTCTCCTCTCTCACAGCAGCAGACGACGGACGTGGGGCAGGTGCTGGTGGCCGATGCATAATAAAGGATCCACCATCTTTCCTTTGCTCTTGAAACTCATTCTCCATAATGGCATCATACACACCATCATTTACTACAGCAGAGGTGTAGGGATCTTCCTCATCTATTTCATCAGAATAATCATTTATCTTAGGCTCTCCTTCTGTCCCCTTCTTTTCCACTTGGCCTTCCACTCTTTTCAACGCTGAAACGAAAAGAATGACACTAATGTCATTAAGCACAACTCTGAATGAAAGTTTTGACAAAAGTCTACTAATGTGGACCTTTGTAATGACATGTAACCTTCGTTTATTGACTAATTTGTTTAGTGAACAGTTTGCAGTTAAAACAACAATGAAAAAATAACTTTGACCAAATCCTCACATTTACAAACTTCACAGGTCTATAAAGCAAAGGAAAGCTGACATTAAGATCATAATCTTAGTCATGGTTTCATTTAACAAGACTTTGCCTAAAAAATGAGTTGTTAATCCTAACAGCTGAATAAGAATGATTGGCATACATGCATCTATCATTTATCTATCTTCTACTTACCTATATATTATCTATCTATCTATCTATCTATCTATCTATCTATCTATCTATCTATCTATCTATCTATCTATCTATCTATCTATC